CCCAGTCATCCAGGATCACTGGTGTGCATAGCTGCACCTGGCACGTTTGAGTCAACCAGGGATCCAAACCCAGACTGCTCATGTGGCTCCAGCAGGCATCCACAGCCTATGCCACTGTGGATGGGCTTATTCTCATTTTTTAGTCTGCCATTTTAAAATAGAGTTTTTGATTGTTTATTAATTTCCAGTTTTATTGCAGTTTTGCTATAGAGCTCACTGGAGATACAGAGGGAGAGAAAATGAGAAGTCACCCCCTGTGGGGACAACACCACAGTCCCTTATCCATTCTCCTCTCAGGATTTTGGGCACACACGCACACGCACAGCGTGAGTTTTAAGGCACAGGGACTGGCACTGGAACCATGGTCAAGTTATGTGAAAGTCCAGCAGCACCTTAACCACTGCACTACCTGCCGGCTTCCTTATGGTTGAATTTTTATTAATGTTCTAGTTTAATTGAAAACAGCTAAATATCTGTTTTGTCTTATTGGTTGTTAATGTGTGTGGGTTTTTTTTTTTTTTTTTTTTTTTTTGCCCATTTCACATTTCCTGTGAGAGGTTAGTTTGCTATGACTGTTTTTGTTTTGGGTTTTGGTTATCTGTCTATCTACCTACTTATGTATTTGTTGCCATTTTCAAGCCATCAGGTTCGGGACTTGAACCACAATAAGCCACGTGGGAATCCAGCACCTTCACCTCCATGCCACCTGCTTACTCCACTGTTTGTTTTAATTTCTCCTATGTCTTGGATTTTTTTGCTTGCAAAGTCTCTCTTAGTTGTGCATAGATACTTATAATATGTTTATGGCATTTGGGCCCTTTTTCACTGAAACATTCTCACTTTTGTCTGTCTTAATGCTCTTTGGCTGGAAAGCTGCCTTGTTTGATGGTAATTGAGGCTTTATTTGTATTTCTTTCCATGTGAATTTGCTCATTCTTTTCAACCTTTATGAATCCACCTTGCTTTAGGTATCACTTATAGGCAGCCTAGAATTGAATTTTGCTCTGAGAAAGTGTTGAAATCTTGTGCTTTTAAAATAGTTGACATGAGGCTATTTATATCTGTCAGTAAGACAAGCATGTATGTGTGTGTGGGGGGTGATTCTTAAAAACTTTTAGATTTTTCTCTAGTGGATAACCATATAATTATAACTACAGAATGATATGCTAATCTTTTATTTCACTGTTTTTGTATTTCCTACCACAGACATTTACAAAATTGGTGTATTTTTTTCTTTTTACTCTTCCTCTTCTCTACTATCTAATTTGGTCAGAAATACTATTTTTCTGTGTTTGTATTTATCATTGTAATATTTGATTTGTTAGCTTTCAGTATTGCCATTGCTTTCTAGCGATCTTTGATAGTCAGTTTACTTATTCTGCTTTTTGCCTTTTTCCTTTCTCCTCTCAGTTTGATCGTATTGAGCCTGTCTTTTTCCATGTGTGACACTGAGACATCTTAATCCTTGATATATGATGGTTCCAGTTACAGTTTTTCAGCTTTTTTTTTTTTTTTTTTTAGAGAGATTTTTGTTATAGGGTGCGTGCATTCGCCAAAAAGACAGAGAAAGAATGAAAGAGAGAAATCACCCCCCTCCGGGGGGGGGAGCATGGCCATGCCGCAATCCCTTCTTCTCCATTCTCCTCTCAGGATTTTGGGCACACGTGCACACGTGCCTGGCATTAGTTTAACCCACCAGGTCCAGGACTCGAACTGCGGTCGGCTATATGGGAGTCCAGTGACATAGCCATTATGCCAACTGCTGGTCTCAAGTGTTTCAGCTTTCTGATGATGTGAAACAGTACTTTGAGTTTGGGATTTTGATCTTGCCAAGCTAGTGATGGACGGTGTGACACTCTTGTGCTGCTGGACAGCAGAGAGCCAGGGCCCAGTCAGCCTCACGCAGCATGAGATGGTTTAGCTTAACTGTAGGCTAATGTATGTGTTCTGGGCACTTTCATGGTAGGCTCACCCAAGCCGTGAAGTTCAGTAGGTTAGGTGTATTAAATGCACTTTTTACTTAAAATATTTCTCATAATGCAGACCTACCAATACCCATTATTGGAACAGAAGAAAAAGCTCTCTCCAAAAGGTCATTTTCAGTTAGATTTGGGGATCAGATCAACTGTCTTCTTACTTACCTGTATGCTGTAAAAGGCAAGACTTGGGGCCAGCAGGTGGTGTGGTGGTTGGGGTGCTGGGCTCCCACATGGCTGACTGGGGTTCAATTCCTGGACCTGGTAGCTTGCTTTCTCACCTTCCCTCTGTCTCTCTGGTCAAATTAAAAAATAATAATAATAAATAATAAATAAAATAAAATAAATAATTCTTTAAAAAAAAAAAGAAAAAGGCAAGGTTAAGCATGTCACTTCTTTTGTACTAGGGTATATGGCCTCCAAATTCCTGTCCCCTCTACATGGGAAATGGAGATGCTGTCTTCTCCCTGAGCATGGCATCCTTCTGAAGACCACGTTCATCAGAGGGTGCTTACCGGATTGCTGGGAAAGTCATGAGCATTTTTCTCTGTTTATCTATCCAAAAATGCATCAGGACTTTCCCGATAGGCCCGATACAATGTCATTATCCTTGTATTTTTTTTGCAGAACATCTTTTCATTTTATTTTTGTCTTGGTAGTTTATAAAAGACTAAATACCAAAAAAAAAGACATATATCTCAGGTTCCAAGAATTGCAAGAAATTGTTCATAGGGCTTTAGGAACCAGAGCAGATTTGAAGCTGCATGTGGGAAAATCGGATTTCCCTTGAGTTTTCTGTTCGACTCAGATACTGATCAACTTCAAAAGTGATGCCAAAGCTGACTAGAACTGTCTGGATTATAACCTGAAGTGTATGGTCTTTGTGTGATGATTTTGGCTTAAAAAGCATGGAATACTTGCAGGTCAGATGGTGGTGCAGGGGTGAAACACCTGTAATTGTGACACTTAAATACTTTTAGATCCTCCGTGAGGCCGACCCACCTGGGAAGGTTCCAGGTTCCTGTGTGGAGCCCTCCCTAAGTATGTCAGACACATGCTGGCCCATGATGCGGGCTGCCTGAGCTGGGGTGGATCATTGCAGCAAGACTTTGTGGGGGGGGGGTGTTGTCTCTCTCTTAAAAGAAGAGAAGCAAAGCACTTGACACTAAAAAAATCTTTACTAATGGTAAGGAAAGAAGAAAAAAATTTTCACAAACTATAAATCCATTTGTAGTTTCTCAGCTTTTAAATAAAATTAGAATCATCCTGTTTGTATACTTTGAAATTTGCTTTTTACTCAACATTTTTGTCTATACTACAGTGTTTCGTTTTTGTTTTTTTATACTTGCTATAGAGTATGTGTGGTTGCCAGAGAGAGAGAGACTAGAGACAGTGAGAAAGCACCCACCAGGCGGATTACCATGCCATAATCCCTTCTCTTCACTCTCTTCTTGGAATTTTGGGCACACATACACATGCATTCGGTGTGTTCATTTTTTTTTTTTTTTTGGAGAGGTTTTCGCTATAGGGTGCGTGCACTCGCCAGACAGAGAGAGACATAGAGACAGAAAGTGAGAAATCACCCCCCAGGGGGGATGGTCATGATTCAATCCCTTCTCCTCCATTTTCCTCTCGGGATCTTGGGCACGCATGCACGTGCGCCTAGCGTGAGTTCTAAGCCACCGGGTCCGGGACGCAAACCGCGGTCGACTACGTGGGAATCCAGCGACATAGCCATTGCGCTAACTGCTGGTTCCCTCTGTGTGTTCTTTAAGCCGTTGGGTCTGGGAATTAAATTGCACTGTTGGTCATGAAAGATTCAGCCTCCTTAACCACTATGCCACCTGGCTGGCCCAGCTACAGTGTTTTGATAGGAGAGTATGGGGCTTTGTTTTTGGGTACAAAGATCCTTCTTGCAGGGATGGGATGGGTGGGAGGAGAGATAAGTGCTCCTTGGAGGTGGTTAATGGTTTATAACATTCCTTCATTTGGGGTCTTATGAATCCCACGGTATCCCTTTATGGTCTCAGCCTAGGAGCATCCCTGTCCATAACAAGGATTCCTAGGATTTAGGAAAAGCTCAGAGAAAGTGGATGCTCTTAGAAATGAGCCAATGCCAAGGGGCCCTGAACCCCCAAATTCTGAGGCGTGGCTGTCCCACTGAGTGTACTTGACATCAGAGGGGGCCAATGCTCAAAGTTATAGGAGAGTTGCAGTCACTTGATAGTCATTTTTTTTAAAAAAATAACATTTGAAAAATTATTTATTGGGAACCAGCAGTTAGCATAATGGCTATGTCGCTGGACTCCCACGTAGTCGACCATGGTTCGTGTCCCGGACCCGGTGGCTTAGAACTCACGCCGGGCGCGTGTGCATGTGTGCCCAAGATCCCAAGAGTAGAATGGAGGAGAAGGGATTGTGGCGTGACCATCCCCCCTGGGGGGTGATTTCTCACTTTCTGTCTCTATGTCTCTCTCTGTCTGTCTGGTGAGCACACGCTCCCTATAGCAAAAACCTCTCCAAAAAACAAATTATTTTATTTTATTATTTATTATTTCTTCATTTGGCCAGAGAGAGGGAAAATGAGAAAGCAAGCCTCTAGGTCTGGGACTTGAATTGCAGGCAGTTGTGTGAGAGTTCAGTGCCTTAACTACCACACCGTCTGCTGGTCCCAGATAGTCTTTTTTATTTTAAAAAGAGATTTTTTTTTTTTTTTTTTTTTGTATAGGGTGTATGCGCTTGCCAAAGAGACAGAAAGTGAGAACTCACCCCTACAGTGATTGCCATACAGCAATCCCTTCTCCTCCATTCTTCCCACAGGATTTTGGGCACACACACCCAGTGTGAAGTTTAAGCCACTGGGGTCCAGGATTCGAACCACAGTTGAATACATAGGAATCCAGTGATTTAACCATTACACCATCTCCTGGTCCTGATAATGTCATTTTTAAGTAATAGTGAACGGAATGAGCTAGCATTAGTTAGCATATACTAAGCCCCTCCTTTCCTCCCTCTTGCTCTTAGAGCTCTCTCGCAGAGACCCTGGATAGCACTGGCAGCCTGGATCCCCAGAGGTCAGACATGATTTACACCATAGAAGATGTTCCTCCTTGGTACCTGTGCATATTTCTGGGGTTGCAGGTAAGATGGTTCCTTTAGCATGGGTAACCGCCAGCAGGGGCTTGAATTGTACACCATCTGGATTTATAAAAAGAAAAAAAAAAATCAACTTTGACTTTTATTTATTGGAGGCTTGATTATAAATTATTCTTTTAAGAGTGATGGATGGGAATCGTTAACCTCAATTTCATAGTAGCGGGAGGAAGAACAGGTTAGCCAGGGAAAAGAAGGAAAGAAAATGTTCTGGGAATAAGAGAAATGACATGAAAGGAAGGAAAAAGATGGTAGAGATGGGAAAGAAAGGAGAGTAGAGGGAAGAAAAAAGTACAAGAGTGGAGAAGAGAGGAATTAAATTTTTATCTTCGGTCCTTGGCCTAGATAACCAAACCACTGACATGGCCGACTCTGCCATGAGACATGGGTGACCCTGAACATTGTTGCCTTGGCCAGGATACAGATGGGAGGTTTTGTTCTGATTTTCTAAAGGAAGGGGACTTGGGCATGGTGGCGGCCACTGCGTGCTGCAGCGTCCAGCGTCCAGAGGGGACACAAGTTGATGGAGTCCTCCCATAACTTTGGAAACCCCTCTCCTCTCTCTTCAGCAAACTTTTCCCGCTTCTAAGATTAAAGAGAGGGTTTTTGGTGAAAGAGGACAAGGTGGGAGGCCCTTTTCTCAGATGCACACCTGACCTGTATTTGCTTTGGTTGCCTTAGCGTGGGGCCTGTTCTGGGGTCTGACTTTCCCTTCTTCCTCTCTCCAGTCTGGGTGATCAGTTCAACCCAAGGTGGAGAAAGTCAGTCTGGTTGCCCAGCAGGTTTCTTCCCTCGGAGCGGGGCTCTGCCTGCCTGGCTGTGGGCTGGCAGTCTGGGCTGCCCTTCCTTTCGGGTATTTAAGCTTCTGGTCACCTGGACTGGAAGGTGTCTAGCAAAGTAGATGCTGGAGCCAAGGGAGCTCAGTGGTCTTGGCAAATAATTCACTTTGGGCCAAGTGTGCTGACCCTGTGTCAGAAAACACGCTCTCTTAAAATGTTCATATTTTTCTGGAAGAAGTCTCCCCTGGTCAGACAGGAGTGGATAGCCTGCCTGTGTCACATTCTTCTTGATGACACACATTGAGCAGGTTCTGAGGAGTACTGAATGGGAGTGTTTGTTCCCCCAGAAATGCCGACTGGAGGTATGTCAGGGGCTACTAGCACTGTAAATGGTGTAGGTGGGCAGAAATGGGAAGCCGTGTAGCAAATCCGCAGACGGAAATCAGAAGCAGGCCACCAGAGAAGAGTGGTGCGTGACTGTCACAGGCCACGAGGAGTCAGAGGGCTCCCCAAAGGAAGAATGGAATGAGCTTGTTCCTGGAGGATCCCCACAGCTGCCGTGTATGCCCTTACTGACCCTGATTGGGACAGATCAATTCTATGTTTGCCAAACAGTGCCAGACCACAGAAGATGGAAAACGTCTTGCTCAGTAAAGCTGTGTAGTTTAATCCCCAGCCCTGAGAGAATTTTTTTTTTTTAAAAAGAAATAATTAGTAGACTGTTGTTAGGACTATAGATGAGAAGTTTTGTATAAAATATTAACAAGTCATGTAGAACAGACAGTATGACTAGGATTTACTTCAGGAGTGCAAGAATGCTTTGGCATGACATAATTCATGTTAGATTAGAGGAGAAGGGCCCTGTGGTTTTAGCAGTTGGAAAAAAAGCAAATGTCTCTAGTGAAAATATACTGGGTCATCAGAAAAGTCATAGTGTATTTTTCTATGCAAAAATGAGTCATGACTTTTCCGACAGCCCGATAGAATAAAATAGCAGTGCTCATATTAAAAACTTCCTTTGTGCCGGCATGGACTCAGGCAAGAGAATAATAACAAAGAATAATAAAAAGAAATGCTGGAAAAAGGAGGAAAAAATAGAATTTAGCCCATGCTGCAAATGTATACCTAAAAACTTTGAGATCCTTCCTGTGGGCTGCTTTTTAAAGCCTGCGGGAGCTTGTTTAGGATGAGGAGCCAATGAGGAAGGGTTTACCCTCTCCCTGCCTCTCCTCTCGCCCGCAGCACTACCTGACCTGCTTCAGCGGCACAATCGCGGTGCCCTTTCTGCTGGCTGATGCCATGTGTGTGGGCTTCGACCAGTGGGCCACCAGCCAGCTCATCGGGACCATTTTCTTCTGCGTGGGAATCACAACTCTGCTGCAGACAACATTCGGATGCAGGTGAGATTGGGGTATTAAAGTGGGATGCTGAAGCCACGCCATCTGCCTAGGGCATTTGAAAAGACTGGCAGGAACTTGGGGCTGTGGGTCCCCTGGCCCCTGCAGCGTGCCTCCTCACATTTCCTCTCTTGGTCAATGGCCCAGCTGTGCAAGCCAGACAGCCCGCCCCACTCTCCTGTGCCTCACTGCGTTCCTTAAAGTTAGTCCCAGAGTGTTCCACTCAGGTCCCAGGTGGTTTCCTGCCTCCAGGGCTCTTCTTTTTGACCCACTCTGTGCTGCGTCCTAGTGCCACCAGGTGCCTTTCTAACACCCATCCCTTCCTCGGTGCTGGCCTGGCTGCAGCTCTACTCCCTGTTAACCAGGAGGTGCCCCATGCTCAGGCTTGTCCCTGCTCCCTGCTCTGCCTGCCTTTCCAGTCGTGCCTCTGAACCCTGCCTCCAACCTCCCTGCCCTGGCCGCCAGTGGGCTCCTCTGAGCGTGCCTTGCCACCTTACCCTCCTGTGTATTTGCTTACCACCTGCCCAATGAGCACCTGCTCACCCTCCAGTCCCTCCTATGACATGTCCCAAACACCTCTGTCATTCTCCCCCGAGGTCCCTTGCCTACATTCTGTACCCATGCTACTCCTATGGCTCTTGTCCTTTTTTGTTTTCATGTCTTTTTTCCTCACTCATGGGTCGTGCTCCCCTTTTTGATGCCTGGACGTTGGCTCATTCACCTTTGCATCCTCAATCCCAGCCAGAACAGGGTGGAGCTGGCCCCAGAAGGAAGGGAGACAGCCTTTCCTGCCTCCTCCTGCCAGCTTGCTTTTCTCCTCCCCATCTTCCACCCTCTTCACAGTGCAGCCATGTGCTTTACCCCAGGGCTCTGCTCAGGGCACAGTGCCCGCTCTAGTAGGACTGTCCTCAGAGTACTCCTGTGAGCTCTGCCTCTTGCTTCTCAGAGTAAGATTCAGCCTCCTCTTCCCTGGGGAGGTGGGAACAGAGGACATAGCATAGACAGCAGATTGGAGGCGATGGACTGGTTGCCAAAGAGTCAGGAGCCTCAGGGACCTCAGGAGGGTTGCCTGACTTGGGAGGACAGTGAGCGCTGTAGGCTGTTCTGGTTGGCAGTTTAGGTCACACCCGGGGAAGGCAGAGGGCGGGTCTGCTGATGGAAAGAAGCCCTGTGGGCTGAAGGCCACAGGGTTGATGAGCTTGAAGTTTGGACTGCCTATAGCCACCATATCAAGCAGAAAGGAGGGTCTCCTCGAGGGGCCCTGGGTTGGGGGGAGGAGACATACCACTGACCTGCTAGCAGAAGGAGATGCGGTCTAGGCAGGACTTGAGCTGGGCAGTGAAACTGGGCTGGCTGCTTCTTCTGTTCTTTGGTGCAGCACTCATGGCTGTGTGTTTCAAACCCAGAGTCCATGGAAATCCTTCTGTTGACTGACTTGAGTGTCACCTTGAAAGGGCACGGGTCCTCGGGGAAGGAAATAGTCTTTTTCTTAACAGCTAACCTATCAGTGAACTTGTAGCCACGATCCATCTATACATTCGGGCGACTGGAGCTAAGAAATGTTGGTTGATCTTTAGAGGAAACAAAAGGTGCCTTCATTGTGATCACGGATGACTGTCAGCCCCACCCCCTGTGTCCGGCCAGGGACAATCCCCGCCCTGCCAGCCCCTGACTGATGGCTTACCCTGCAGTAGTTGCCTAGTGGTGACATGGCAGGGAGGACTGGGAGGAACTTTGGGTGAGTTCTGTTGGCAATAGGCGGGCACCCTCTGGACTATTCTTGGGCACAAGACCTAAGTGGAATATCCCAGGCCGTTGCAGTTCACCTCCTCTCCCCCACAGAAGAGCAGATGAGCTGAGAAAGAACAGGAGAGGGACCGACACCCGTTGGCTGGCGCAGGGACCCAGAATGTAGAGCTCCGCCTGATGAGGGTGTATGTCTGTGCACCCTGTGCCCGCGGGGCTTGGTGGAAGCAGCTTTTCTGGCTCTCTTTATGGAGATGCCAGGGCAAGCCCCATCCATGTCCTTGGGGGTGAAGAGGAAGTGGGCCAAGCCCTTGCTTCCATCCCCACCGTAGCATGGCCATGTGCTTGCTTGTAAACGAGGAAGCGGGCATCATGTCTGTGAAACGGGCTGCTGGGTGAGGGTGTGTAGAAGGCTCTTGTCTGGTGCTGGTCTCGGGATGTGGGTTTTCTGTGCCTGCTGAGCTGTGGGTGGTGTCCATAGGCTTCACCTGGGAAAAGAGGAGTCTTAACCCAATCCCACAGTTATGCAGTGACTATTCTGTGTAGAAGTGCAGGCAATGGGACTGGCCGTGGTGGTGAGCAAAGGTGACAATAAACCACACAACTTAAAGCATAAAGGGCAGTGACATAGGAGACACCATGGAATCTGCCCAGGATTCACCAAGAGCTGGTGTTTGAGAACAGTCCCAAAGGCTTAGGGTCCTTTGGCCCAAGAATAATTGAGGGAGGGTTTTCCAATCTGGCAGGGGCAGGAGCCAAGTCTCCTGACAGAGCTGGGGTTTGGGGTGTCTTATCTGTAGGGTACAAGGACCCTGCCATGGCTTCCTTAGCAGCGGACCCAGCTACTGGGCTGTGCCTTGACGGTTATTATTGGTACCAAGTATGAAGGAGCACCAGGTGCCAGGCAGCGGCGACACCCCCAGGAAAGGTGGTGTGGGTCCAGGCAGGCGTTCTGGGCAGAAATGAGAAGAAGCCTGCAGGGAGGCAGAGAGAGGATTCAGAGACAGGAAGAGACAGTGTGTCTGACTGGGTTAAGAGTATTTGAGTGAGGGGTTCAGTTCTAGACCACATTCTAGAGGTCTGTTCCTGCTTCTGACCCTGAACTACGAAGAAAACAAGCAAGGACTATGCCTTGTTTTGCCTCGATTAAAGAACCTGCAGTTGAGTGGATGACACCGATATCTTCAAGGGTGGGGGTTCATCCCAGCCAACACAGTGTCACCCATACTAGCAATCCTGGTCTTTCCAGCACGTGGTTGCACTCCTGTGCAAATTCTGTCTGTGCTAGTGAGGCTTTCTTGCCTGGAGTCTTTGCTTCTACCCCAGTCCAGTAGGTGAGCTCAGAGGCGTGGTTCCCATCTCTGCCAGACCTCGAGCCATTGCTGGTAGGTTCTTTCCAGCATTGGTCCAGTGTGCATCTAGGGCCTGCCGTGCACCACCTGTGTGTGTGTGTGAGGCAGCAGAGGTGTGCTGAGATGGATCTCTCCCTGCAGCCTGGCCAGCCACCCTCTGTGGAGGTGTTTGCTGAGTACTCGATGGTATATTCAGGTGACCAGCCCCTCCTAGCTCCCTTTCAAAGAAAGCTGATTCCTCTATGCCCGCCCCCCTTTCTTTCCATGGTACCTGGAAAGGCAGGGCTACCCGGTGCTGGGGCACTCGCCTTGCATGCCTTTGTCTGGGTGTCTTGTGAGTTGAATGAGGAGAGCAGAAACGCCACACGTGCCCACATGCCCTGTTGCCATAGCCCCACACCCCAGCCCTGCCTCTGGTGTTTCCAGCAGAGCAAGCTTGGCTGCCCCACTCTGGGTGAGAGCCCTACTCTGGTGCTTGGATACCAGACACTGGCTCGTATTCAGGGTGGGGGCGCTCCCAGGGGCTCAGCAACGTCGGTGCTGCCAGAGCTGGCCGTCTGGATTACTTCATGGACCTATCATCCGTGGGGCAGCCATAACCTGCACTCCCAGGGAGAAACATCAGCTCCCAGCACGTGGCAAGCTGGACGTAAGAGGGGCTCCTCAGCCCTGTGGCCTTGGACAGGCGACCTTGCCCACTTCCGCTTTCTTTGTGAAAACAGGAGGACGCTTCCTCAGGTGTCCTGCAAATGACATGTCGCCATTATTTTAAGGAATATATTGTATTTTTGTAGATTATTGTAAGTTTCCTAAAATTCTTTGGCGAAGTTTTTGTATATAAATATGAAAATCCAAATTTTAGTTCTATAAAATGCTGATAAGATAGATCTCATCATAGGCTGAGAATTATCCTTTTCCTAAGGATAAAATATATCCTTTACTGCCCTAAAATAAATATCCTTTGTTTTATTTACTGCTGAAAACAGACTAAAATAAAATGGTGAAGTAGTTGGGGCAGAGGGTCTTTGAGGATAGAACAGGGCAGGGAAAAAGGGAGACAGACAGATGTGGGCTGGTGCCGGGTTTATTTCCCGCGTCCTGGCCAGAAGGACTGCAGGTAGGCAGCTGTGTGGGTTTTTCTTTTTTATTTCTTTTTTTCTTTCTTTATTGTTTTTTTTTTTTCATTTTAGTTGTCTCCTCATTTCTTCAGGCTTAGAGCAGCAAAAGGCAAAGTGTTTTCAGGTTCAGCTTTTGTGATTTCTAAGACAGTTTCTGACTTTTCCAGGCGCTGAGGCAGCTCTCCTATCACATGTAAATCCTGTTTCTTGCATGTTTGCCTGCTGCGCTCTGAGTGCCCTACACACCCTTGCATGGTTCTGGGTGTGCGGCCTGAGGACAAGCCCTAGCTGTGCCTCGTGGCTCTGAGGGCCGGGCCCCAGATTCTGCGGTAGCTCGGGTGACGTGCAGTTAGTGCGAAGGGAGGAGTGAAGTGCTGTGGTCGGGTCGTTCCTCCTCCACATTTCACATGGGCTCTGTGGTCGAGAGCGGAATGCAGTTCGGAAGCCATCTCACTCCAGAAAAATAGCCAGAATGGAGGGGGAGCCTCAGGTGTCACAGGTGTGTGCAGAGCTTTGCAGGACCCAGGGTGCCAGCCCTGGGGTGCCACAGCGTGGGTGCTCCTTGTGGGGCTGAGCGGCCAGGGCCGTGAGTGTGGCTGGTGAGCACGTGTGTGATGCCTTCCCTCCCCCACAGCACGCCACCCCTGGCACAGAGCACTCCCTCTCTCCCCGACACTGCTACCTTCCTGCCATGGAGGTCGTGGAGCCAGCCCCAGTTCCTCTGTGACTTCTGTGGCTTTAGTGCTTCCCGTAGCCTCCATCTCTAGGGGATGGGTGGCTGTTGCTG